TTTGAATCGATTCACATTTCTATACAGTTGTATGATACAAAGTCATTTGCCGTTCAGGGTTGATCCCATCACGTTGGACAGTCAGAAATATACAAACATACCACATGTTTTCAAGCATTTGTTTGACTATTAAGAAATGTTTATTTATAAAATAAGGTAAGTTACAGTCAGAGGAAAAATATTTACAAAATTAACCCTGGTTAAAGAACACAGAAATCATAATAAAAAATACACAAAAGTAACAGAATATAATGATATTCAGCAAATCAAGGATTTAACATAATATATTGTCCCAGCATACATTATATCAATACAAGTGATAAAAAGCACATGTAACTACTAGTCAGTAGCATCATCCAGTGAGACCATATGGCAGCTCTCATTTCTTACAGCAAGATCTTTACATAATAGAGTACGAAAGGGAAAAAAATGCATATATGTCTCAAAATACATATGGGTAAAATACCAATGGTATTTACCAGAGGTAACACTGAATACCTTTGATGTAAAGAGAAGAAAAAGGATGGAAGTAAATACTTCAGTTTCCACTATGGAACCTTTGGTGACAATTTTAAATACCAATGCCATATGACAGCAGTGTTGAAGGGTGTGTATGAATGTGGGACTACTTGCCAAAACCATTTACTCCTTCCTCCACACAAACAGAGGGTGTGGACTGTCGTCATGAACAAGCAGAAATGGTTGGGTTATCACAAGAACACACTAATGACATCATGAACAGTTTGTTGAGACACCACATCAAACAGGCAGTAACTACAAAGTAATTGAAGGATAGGGAGGAGTTGTGATGTCACACGTTGACCACGGAATCTCGTTTACCAGGCTCAAGGGAGAGAGCGGCACTCGGGTCCTTACCAGATTCTTTCAATTTCTCCTGCATCTGACTCAGCATCTCCTGCATTCGGCGAATCTGAAAACAAGTTTGGTTTGACTCAGTTTAATTAGTAATGATTTGGTGTTGGCCACCTGATTTGCTTATGATGATTGTACAACCAAGCATTTTATTTGGAAATAACTATACTTAAAAACTATATAGTATTTATAGTTTATGTCAGATCCAGATACAAATAAAGATTTGGCAGAAAGGATATTAGTAATAAAGATTTCATCTGTTAGGCATATACAGAAAGTTAGATCTCACTTGTATCATGAACAAATGCTAAATTTGAATTGAGCTTAGTTCCCATTAAATTTCATCTTAAAATTTCTATGAAAAAAAGCTATTATCTGAAGACCATCCATGTTTTTTATTTCCTTTTTTTTTTTTTTTTTTTTTTTTTCATACTTCCTCATCCTTTTGCTGAAGCAGCTTATCTGTGTCACCAACAGTGTCGAAATTGGCTGCACTCTCTCTTTTTAACTTGTTTCTCTCCTTCAGTGCTACCTGCTGAAGAATACAGACAGATTTATTAGAATTATGTTACAAGTCAGTCATGTTATTAAGGACACATAGATATATGCAAATTGCATATATTTAAGAATCTGGAGCCCCTTGAAAACTGTAAACTAATCTTTTTCCATTTCTGTTTCCATGGTATTGCGTGCATCAGTTTAAGAAATGAAGCTTCTGTTAAGTGTAAAATTACTTAAAGGCCCTTTTCTTATTTATTAAATCCAATTCTACAGATCAACAACTAGCCGAAGCTGCTCTCAATTGGCATTCAACCCTAACCTTCAAATAACGCACGAAGAGCAAACATTATGTCTGCAGTCATTTCAAAGTATCTTTTTTTTTCATCATGACTAATAATACATTTTATAACTTTCACTTTATTGGAAATCAGAAATGAAAATAGATTTTGTAAATGATGTATAAAACAGGGATGTATTCAGGGTTTAAACACAAAGAGCACAGATCACAGCTGTGAGCTACTGGTTTAGGATGCTTATAAATATGGCCATCTTTTACTTCATTCTGAAACCTTCCAAAAATGCAGAAATCAAAATGCAGGTTTATGCTGTAACCTCCCATTCCACATCAATGTTTGCAATATATTTTTCATCACAAATAGATGCATTACATTAATATATATTTTTTTTTTCTTTACTTTTTTTTTTTTCTTTTTACTTTGCTTAGCTGTAAAGCAAGAAAACTAAATTAGGGATGGGGGTCATAAAGTACAAATAATTTCAATCATTGTAAATAAAGTTTTCTTTGACTCTAAAATCATTTACCTCTAATAACAGCCAAATGATTTTATACAAAAAAAAAAAAACACTCAAACTCCACAGATTCATACCTATACTTATATCGGTATGGAATATGTATATTATTACAAGGGTCCCGTACCAGAATATTGAAAGAAAAAAAAAAGAAAAGTATTTAGTATATGGAATCCATTTTGTTGAAAATCTATATTCTTCTCTTAATATCTTTCTTCTAAAGCCAATTAAATCTGTTGACTATGTCATTCTTATTGTATTTCAAAGGGAGGAAAATTTTATAGCAAAACAATAAAATCTTGATTACTAGCAGATA